CCCTCTCTGTAGATGGGAAGGAAGCCTACAGGCCTCACGATCCATCCACTCACTTACATGTAGAGGTGCACTGTACCCTCTCCTGGCCCCAGGGACCCAGGGAGACCAGTGAACAGCCCGGGTACTATAGGTTAACATCCTCAGAGGCCATTGAGGATGAACCCCACCTCATCATGGTCTACTTTAGGACCCATATCCCGTTTCCCTGGTAACTCAGAAAGGTAAACATGGGCTTTGCCACCTTTTAGGATTTAAATTACCTTATGAAAAGGTGGCCATATTTGGATTTTGTTGAGGCCCACTGAGGCAAAACTCTTATCTCCTGGTCAGAATAGAATCTAAATTCTACCTCTGGCCTAGTGTGGGGACCTGGCAATCTAAGCTTCCCCAAACACTATATAGTATAGTTTTCTCCCCTAGGAGTCAATCCAGCTGGGCTTGTTATTCACCTAAGCAGGTATCCACCCAGCCCCACCCCAAGAAATCTGGTTCACCTGAAGACACCTAAGAGGAAGAAAGAACCAATTATCCCCTTAACGAGATCACGTGTGTGTCCCTCCCGGGAACCCCTCCCTGAGTGGGGGTTCCTCCTCACAGAGCTTCCACCCCGTAGCGCCATGGAGCCCGCCAACTTTTTAGGGTTACTCAGAAAAGCATAACTTACTTTCCCTTCTCTTCGATCTCTTTCTCTCAGATAATGGGCAAAGCCTGCGAGTGCTTTTCCTGACTCTCTAGACCTTCTCACTCAGTCTGGGACGCTCTTCCCCAACCCCTTTCCCATCATGCACCTGCTGATCCACCATGTGACTGCTCCCTGCTGTCCTCCACTGAACAAGCTACCCTCATTTACACAGCGTGCCTTTTGTTCCTTCTCCCTTCTGCTGGAAGCTTTTGGCATTTACACCTCGTCTACCCTGTTGCTATCCTCTCAAATGCTCATAAACTAATGTTCAAGTCCCCTCTGAGTCCGTCTCTAGACTAAGAACCAGAAGGCAGGAAACCTGGTCTTCCCAGTAACACAAGGCAAGATGGCTGGATGGAGCTGCAAGAGAGGGAGCTCTTGCTCTGGAAAAGAGGGGGGAACTTCATTTACTTGTCAGGATGAGAGAGGGGGACCAGCCAAGACACTTCCCACCAACCCCAATAACCTGGGCTTGATCTCCTGAACTAACCTGACAGAAGGAAAGAATTGACCTTTCAAGTTGTCCTTTGACCTACACGCACACACACAAATACATAAAGAAATATAATTTTGAAGTGCTTTAAAAAGCAATCTGGAAAGGAAGCAGTTCATGCAAAGGTCTAAGGAACCAAAGGGAGGTGGGAAGTCGGGGGCAGTTGGGCAGGAGAAGATGGGAGGGAGAACTGAGTGGGAGCAGGAATCAGGGGCCATGGAGGATGGGATAGTGGGGACCAATTGAGAGTTTACATTCAGTGTGGTAGGAAGCTGAGCGACCATGTTGGGACTGTGGTATCACAGTGGAATGGAGCGTCCTTGGGGGCCCTTTGTTGTTAAGGAATGCATGAGAGGCTCTAGTGTGACCCCTTGTGCTGAGGAGGCACCATGCGCTGTTCCCTCAAGACCAGGGACTTCTACCACAGTAGACAGGATGAGAAGGGCAGACTACTCACCAGGCTGTTCGTCGGCTGACAGGCACTCTGGCCTCTGCCCTTGCCACCAGCAGGCCGAGTGTGGAGTGTCTGGGTTGAATGACCCAACATGAAGACGGCTTGGGCCTTAGGCTTAGCTAGATCCCATCTCAAATCACTGACCTTCGATGATCTTGGTCAAGTCCTAATCCTCTTGACAAACTTCCTCTAATGCAGAGAAACGATGCCTCTTGGTTGGCCTGCCAGGGCATGGCTAGCGTCAAGAGAGACTTCCAGGCACTGCATTTGAATTTAGTAGGCACTCTGTCCCTCGTCGTGACCAAGGGCCAGCCACGGCAGTCTCACCTGTCTGAATGCAAATTCCCAGGGCAGGAATTTCATCCCGGATAGTGCAGGAAAGGGAGCTGTCCCGTGACCACTCAGGCACAACTGTCGTCCCTGCTCTCAAGTATACTGAGCACAGGGCCCAGAGCCCCAGCATAAATCACAAAACTTAATGCTACACAATGTTTTTTTTCTACCTCCCAATGCTTTCAATATGTCTGCAAGCTGGCCATTAGCAGTGCCATCTTAACTGATGGAGAGACAGCAGGTACATGAGTGCCCTGGCAATCGAGTGGCCTGAAATCTGACCTAAGCCAGGAGAGGGGGTGCCGAGAAACTGCAAACTCAGAGGACACCAAAGGCAAGTGGTATGTAGCGACCAGGACCAACTGTGAAGTGTAGCCACAGGCAGGGCCTAGACCTGCTGGTCAGTGCTGTAGGGGAGGCTTGTGTGCAAAAACGAGGTCACAACACTTGGGCCCCAGCTGGCTTAGATCCTGGTGGAAGAATCCTAGAAGAGCTGCAGGGCTATGCACCCTACCAGACCAAACCAGGAGCTGAAGCACTCCCCCCTCCGCTCCTGCAGACCCCACTATAGGAAAACACTGGTGGAACGTCCCTAGACCACCATACCAGGGGTTAGAGAACACATCGCTCCTTCTCTGCTCATCTGGAACCACCTACATCTGCGGGATGAGGAGCCCCTGGGTCTGTGCTGGGGCAGAGGGTTAGAGATCTGTCCACTCATAGAAGAAAGCTGGACAAAGGAAGGGATTCCTCCTGCACAGGCTTTGGTCATGGAGATCCCAGGGTCTGAGCCCTGGGCACAATGACATCAATTTCCAGAAAACAAACCAACACAGATCCTACCAAGAGCATTTGTCTGCACTCTGTTCTCAGCTCCAGCCTCACCCTGGCCTCAGGTGTCACCAGTTTGACTTGTGCTGGGGAAGGGCTTCTTTCAGTCCACGGTCCTCCTCTCCCTTCTGCAAAGGAAACATGGTTGCCCATCTCAGGGCCAGGAAACCTCTATCCGAAGGAGTTCTGGGAGGGTCCAGGACATACCTGTAGGAATGGATGCTTCCTGTGGGAAAGGAAGGAGGGCAGGGCAGTAAGAGCCAAAGAATGAGGCAGAGAGGTACTTTGTGGAGGGGGTGGGAAGTGTCCACGGAAAAGGCTGGAATCCTACCCTTGGGTCTGAGCAGAGGCCATGCTGTCTCTTAGCAATGTTGCTGCCATGTCCTACTCTGTCCCTGAAGATGAGCTTCCGCCCCAGGGAGTGCTATGGTCCAGCCTGCAGGGGCCAGAGGACGTGTGAATGCCCGGCATGTGGCAGAGGCAGGCAGAGGACAATGAGACACACATCTCAACACAGTAGCACTCAAAGAGATCAAAATGCATTTAATGTGGTCTAGTCTCGTTGCCTACATCTTTAGATACCGCTATGTATTGAAAATAACATGAAAATTCTCCAGTTTCACCATTTAAAATAGATTTAACATTCTATGACCTCACACAGGGCAGACACCCATACAAGGGCCTCCCTGTGGTGTGTCCTTCTGCCCCCAGGCCCTCAGCTGGACAAGGACCAGGTGGCACAGCACCAGCATGGGCTCAGGGCAGCCGCTTCGTTCTGTGCAGCTCTCACACGCTGCACACAGCACCCACCCCACTGACATTCACATACACGCACCCTGGGACCTTCACGCACTCACACATGTTTGCATGCATAGATGCACGCATGGCCTCCATCAGGACCTGGTGCAGAAAGCTTACCACCGGACTCCTCAGACTGCTGCACACTGTGTACAGCCTGCATAACCAGGGCAGGGCAGGGCAGGGACTCACGTCGGACTGTGATTGTGTCTGTGGCCAGCACCCAACCTGACCAGTTCAGGTTAGTGAGCACCAGACCCACCTTACCCCTATAAAAAAACAAGCACACATGTACCTGTGGGCAGACACACACGGACTACTTGCACATAAACACCTGTGTATACCATATATCAGTATACCAAGACTCGCACACAGGGAGGCAATCATGTGAGCACATCTGTACACGCAGGCACACACACCCTGGCTTCCTTCCTCACGCACTCCCCAGGGGCCAAGCTTTCCTGCTTGGCACAGGCACACGCTCCCCTCTCAGTGGCCTCCCCCATTAGGTGCACTAAAAAGAGGGGCTAGTTTGGTCTTTAGCACAAGCAATAAATAAATACAGGGAAAGAGAAAAAAAAGAGGGCAGGAGAATTTGAAAATACAGCATCCGCCTGCCTTTGGCAGAGATGAAAGGCAGCTTGAGCTGCTCTCCAGCAGAGCCCAGGGACTGGACCATTCTGGCAGACCTGGGCCTGGGAGGAGGATGGGCCAGAGTGCTGAATGTTTCAGGCCACTGAGATGAGCTGGGAGCAGGCCTTGAGGGACCAGGAGCCCCTAGACCTTGCTCTGGATGCAGGCCCACGTACTCAGAAAGGTGCTTGGGCTCCCACAGTGGTACCCAGGGCCCGGGATCTCCCCTTCTTCCCTCCCGCAGCCTGACAACTGCACAGAGGTGGGTGAGAGCCAAGCACCCCTACACTGAATGCACCCTCAAGCCCCAGGGCCAAGGCTAGAAAACTCAGTGAGATGTGAGGACAGAGGCCAGGCCAAGAACACAAAGGAGCTGAGGTCTCTGCAGCAGGTCTTAGGCAGACTCCTAGGCTAGAACATAGCATGAACTCTTAAGTTAGATGCCTGGGAGCAAGCCCACCTCAGGTCTTTCTAACTGGGCATGATGGGAAGACTTCACGGTTTGGGACCTCGGGGAGGGAAAGCTCCATCACAGGCCCCTAAAGGCTACACAGAAATTGTTTTATGACATTTCTCTGGTCATCTCTATGGTGGTAGGGGCAGGGTGGGGACTGGGGAGGGGTCCTCCTCTCCTCTCCTTTCCTGGACTCTGCCTTCCAGCAGCAGATGATTGGCTGGGGCCAGCTGGGCTACCTCATGGCGCCCCAGGAGTGTGGGAGAAAAGCAGGTAAGGACATGGTGGCTGTGAGACAGGAGGGGTGCAGTCTGCACCCTCGGGGAGGGGCTTTCTGGGTGTCAGGAGTGGAGTTAGGGGCAGAAGGGAAGGATTGGACAAGTCTGATAAAACCAAAAAGACTGAAGCCAGTCAACCAGAGTGTCTAAGGCACAACTCAAACTGTGAGTCCTACGGGGGTGGGGCTGACCCACTTCCTGGGAACGTGGGAACCAGACCCCATGCTAATTTCCTGAGTGTCCTTTCCTAAGAAGCACCCACTCTGGTGTTTCCTACAGGCCCTCACCGCAAGGGGTGGAGACCCTCGGGCAGACAGGGAGTGAGGAACAGGGGCACGGAAGGGGACCTCCCCTGGGTCCTAAACCCAGCCCTGATCCAGCTGAGGTACAAAGGCAAACACAAATGATCAAGCCAGATTCATCCTAGTGGGCCCCCACCCCCAGAGACATCCAGACACTTTATTAGAATCGTTAACATGGTCACAAGCCTGATTCACCCTTGAGCAGGACACGTAAGGGAGACACCAGACCTCCGAGAACCTTCCGGGCTCTCCATCCAGCTGCTTGCCTGGCAGCTGGGAGTAGAATTCTAACTGTCCCCACACCATAGATTTTAAAAAAATGCAACCACATGTTAGTGTTTTCTTGTGTTTTGTGGGGTTTTTTTTGTTTTGTTTTTTGTTTTTGTAAACAGTCTTATCCAAGTTAAAAACCAATGAGGTGTGCACACACAACTTTCTCCCATCAGGGCTGGGACCTCTCCTGAGCGGCTTCTGAGGCCTCCAGAAGAGTCCTCTACCCCTGCTGTTCACCTTACCCCAAGAGGTCACCACCCCAAGAGGTCACCACCCCAAGAGGTCACCACCCCAAGAGGTCACCACCTCCTTGCCCATAAATATACATCTGAGGCCACGGGCCGTTCATTCTGGTCACCCGCTCTCTCACCAACTTCCCCAGGCTATTGCAGAAAGAACATGGAAAGACTAAGATGCTACAGAGTTTGTGGCCCGAGGATTTGGCTTGCTCTGCTCAAACCCAGGTCCCCAAAGGACCTGGGACCTATTGTGGTCAGGGCGGTGCTGTACCCAAGTCAAGGGCACTCAAATCTCTGACTCCCGTCTGTAGGACCGCTGCTCAAGGGCACCACTGCCGGCCTGCAGTCGGTCAAAGTCATGCTCCGGCTGAGGGCTGCGGCCATCCCGGTCTGTCGCCACCTCATCCTCCTCATCTCGGCTCAGGAAGGCCAGCTCGTTCTCATAGCAGAAAGAGTTGGCACTGGGCAAGAGGAACTTGTTCTCCACCAGGTCCTTGGCGCTGCAGCGGGGGGTAGAGGGCACCTCATAGGTCTTGTGGAAGTGTGAGTAGTCAATCTTGTACTGGTTCTTCTCCTCGAAGAGCACTGGCTCAAAGCGGTGGCCCCACAGGATCTCATTAGCCAGGTAGGAACTGCGAGCCTGCGTGGTCATGGCCGTAGCCTCTACCATGCCTTCTAGGATGACGACAATCTCAAAGTCGTCTGTCTCAAGGTCCTGACGGCTAATGCCGAACAGAGGGCTGGCCTCATCAATCTCATGCAAGATAGTGATGGGTGATACCAGGAAGATACGGTCCAGGCCCTTATCAAAGCCCACGTCAATGTCGATCTGGTCTAGTGGGATGTACTCACCCTCCTCTGTGACCCTGGGCTTGATGAGCTGAGCCCTCACGTGGGCCTCTACGATGTGGCTCTTGCGAAGGTTGCCCACGCGCCACATCAGGCAGAGCTTGCCGTCACGCAGAGCCACGACAGCATTGTGGCTGAAAAGCAGAGTCTGCGCCCGCTTCTTGGGCCGGGCCATCTTGGCCATGATGGCACCAATCATGAAGGAGTCAATGATGCAGCCTACAATGGACTGTGCCACCACCATGAAGACAGCCACCGGGCACTCCTCAGTCACACAGCGGAGCCCGTATCCAATGGTGGTCTGTGTCTCGATGGAGAAGAGAAAGGCCGCCATGAAGCCGTGGACCTGCAGCACACAGGGTGTACGGCCACGGCCCTCGGCTGGCTCCAGGTCTCCGTGGGCGACAGCAATGACCCAGAAGATGATGCCGAACAGCAACCAGGAGGCAAGGAAGGCCAGGGAGAAGATGAGCAGCATGTAGCGCCAGCGGATATCCACGCACGTGGTAAACATGTCAGCCAGGTAGCGCTGTGACTTCTCATCCATGTTGGCGAATTCGATGTTGCACTGGCCGTTCTTCTTGACAAAGCGGTTGCGGCACCGGCGCCTTGTGTGCACCTTGCCGTTGCCGAAACCGTTGGCGCCGGACATGGTAACCAGGTGCAGTCCGTCCTCCTCTGATGAGACGATGCTGTAGGGGTTGGCCCGGCTGGCTGTGGTCATCCCGGGGTCTGGTGGACCCTGGCCTGCCCCCAGGCTGACTCCAGGCAGGGGCACTTCTGCAAAAGAGAGGACAGTGGGTCTGTCTGGGCAGGCAGCCAGGGCCCATGACGGTAGCTGGCAGACAAAGCCCCCGTTTAGTCACCACAGATCCCGTCTTCCCTCCCACTCAAAGCCTGCTCCTCAAATCCACCTTCTCAGCTTGGAAAACAGGCCCCCCCTGGCTCCCAGCAGTGCCGCTCCAGCCAGAAATCTTGGGCTCTGCTTTCAAACATATTTCTATTTCTCCCACCCTCATAGCCTAAGTCCTGGTCACCTCCAGCCTGGACCAAGGCAGGGGCCACCTCCCCAGCCTCACTTTGTCTCCCTTACTCTCAGTCCCTGAAAGGGACCATGTTAGATCCCACCCTTCCTTCTCTCACAGCCAGTGGGCCCTGGAGCTGCAAGGTCTGTAAGGCAGTCCCATAGCTTTGTTGCCTGGTTGAACACACACACACATCCCCCCACACTACCCACACACACATACACACATATGTGCACACGTGTGTGTGCATGCTATTCACCCACCTGCTCCCCCTCCCCCAGACAAGCACCCTCCCAGATCAGTGCTGCTGTACATCAGACTGTGCTCCCATGTTGCCAGGGCAGGCCTCCCCGTGCCCCAGAAATGCACACATGGTTCTGACCCACACACTGCACACCCCAGCCACCACGGATCCTCGTGTAGAGCAGCAGTAGCAACGACCATAAAAGCTGTGACATTGGCCTGTCTTTCCCTCACACACACTGGTCATTTACGCCCCTCACTGTCTTACCCCAGGTCTAGAACAGGTCTGCCGAGGCCCAAACCTCATCGTGTCTGACATTCTATGTTCACTTTGCCTGTCTTCACGAAGTCCACGGCATCCACTAAGCACCCATAGGCTACACCCATGACTTTTCTATCATGGGGTTATACGGTATAAGGGGCAGCCCTAGAGCAGACACCCAGATTGGGTCTCTTTAGGTTTCCCTAACTTCAGAACAGGCAACTCCCACGCCTCCGCTGAGGACTACAGGTCCAGAGACTCACACGCATCACCTGCTTCCATTACCACTTTTGGTCTCCTGTAGGGAGCACCGTATCTCCAGGCCAGCCTAGCACACACTCTTCTCAGAGAAGGCCTGAAGAAAGGGACCGTGGCCAGCAGAGCAAACCCAGGTTTGCACATCCCGATTGATCCATGAGGACCAGTGGCAGGCTAAGCCAGGGATCGTAGCCCTGTCTGCCTCTGGAGACACTAGCCTATCTCAGCTGGGCTGAGCAGAAAGTGGGTGTCCTCTGGTGTAGCAGAACATTAATGAGCTGGACAAGAGCCCAACAAAGCCTTGGAGCCCTCAATCACCTGATGTCACTAGGAAGACAAAGAGATTCTAGAAGAAGATCCCATGGGAGCTGGGCACCTAGGGCAGGCTAGATGTTATCAGAGCTTCCTGCCCTTGGACTCTTGAGGGTAGTAGATCTGCCCATTTTTTCAGACAAGGGGGCTGAGAACAGGAAGACACTCCCCCAGTGTGCCTGTAGGCACAGATAGCAATGCTAGAATTCAGCCCTATCTGGACAGCACAATCCCTGGCCACATCTACATCAGAGGCTCAGAGGGACACAGCCTGCAGACTCTGCTAGCAACACAGTGGTATGGGTGGAGACCATCAGACCAGCCAGATCAGGAAGCACTCTCCGAGTCTATGCCGTAAGCCACAGTGCTGCTGAGTCCCTGAAGCCTGGCAGACACAGACAGGGCCATGAAGCCTGAGAACCACAGAAACCCTACTAGGATGGGGAGAAACACATCCAAGATCTTCGAGTCTTCCTCTAACAGCCATAGGGGGTTCAAATAGGAAAGGAACTCCCAACCAAGACATATGGGCATCAATCAGGAGAGCTGAGATCCAAACCTCATGTCTAACACAGTTTCCTGCCATGTGACCTTAGGCTCAACAGGGCCATCGGTCCTCATTCTGACATCTTCCCCTATGGCTACGTCAGTTGACCACCTCACCATGGGTCTGTGTAGCTGAGGCTTGGGGCTGTAATGGTGGATGCTGCTTCTGTCTGGGCCAGGAGGCAGAGGGTTGGCGGGGCTGAGGACCCTGGGGACCACCCTGGGAAGACATCTCAGCCCCAGATTTCTGAGTCTTCCAGGGTAAGGTGGTCAAGGTTGGGGTACTCAGACGCCGGGGGGAAGCTGCCAGATCCCAGGAGCTAGGCTTGTGTGACCTAGAGGCCTTGAGGGATGTCCAGCGGGTCATGGCGGCTCTGGCTCCCACTATGAGCAGTAGCTGACCTGCAGGGAACAGAATCACAGGCATCAAAGACTGGGGAGCCCCATCCAGAAGCCTGATCCAGGAAGGCAGCCTTCCATCTGGCCAGCCCCATGGAGCTGAGAGTGTGGCAGCCACTTCTGGAATCATTTAGGCAGCATCACAGACCTGGAAACTCCCACTTCTGCTGATATTCCACCCAAACCACAGAGAAAATCAACTTCATCAAGTGTATGCCTGTTCTGTACCTTGAGCCAGAAACCGATGGTGAGCAAAGTCCCTTGTCCCCAGACACCCAGAGAATGTACGTGAGCAACAGAAGCAGACAGATGTGGGAGACCCTCACGTGGAGGATGGTGAGGACAGACCCAAAAGGAGGACCCAGAAGCAGGAATTAGTGCCACAGAAGGCCAAAGGTCAAGAGGAGACCCCCACACCAAGGCTTAGACAACAAGAATGTACTAAAGATCTCTAAGAAACACGAGGCAGAGCCTCCGCCGGGGTCATGCAAGCTGGCAGGCTCTTGCTCAATGGGCATGTCATGAGACTAGGAAAGAAAATCAATGAGATTTGTTTCACTTGAAGAGGTCTAAGCAAGAAAAGAGGCCAGCACCCCACTTCAGAGGTGGGGAAACGGAAGCCAAAGGAGAAAACAATGTTCAAGCCAACACTGAGGACCACGTTAGCAAGGCCTAAGCTGGCCAGTGGCAGTTCTGAACACTGCCAGGAGGGAACGGGGAGGCTCAGTGGAATACAGTACCTGAACCAGACAAGGAGAGTCGACACTGGACAGCGCTCAAAATGAGACCAGGCACAGTGGGGAGGAGAGGCCACAGAACCCGCAGGAAGAAATGACCTGTCCTGGACCAGATTCTTGCCCTGGCATCTGCAGGCGCAGCCTCTCGGCATCCAGTTAGCTTGGAGCACTGGCCAGGGAGGGCCAGGACTGGAGCTCTGAGTGAAAAGAGCTGCCACCTAGCCTAGGGTGGGGCCTGGGAGTCACTGGGAGGTTCCTCCGGATGGAGCAGGACATCCCATGTCAGTCTCCAAGGCTCTGGGACACCTCAGGTTTCGCTAACATCCGGGAGGAACTGGGACAAGGCTTGGGCCCATAGTCCCAGATGTCGCCTGGATAGTGACTGCAAAGAAACCGGCCCTGGAAAAGGAGCATCGGGTGAGGCCTCTCCCTTGGGCTCCTCTAGGATGAGGAGCAAAGGTGTCAAAAGTTATCGACTGCTGCTACCTCCCAGACACTCTCCTGAAACTCTGACATGCTCGCCCAGGTAATCCCTGTAATGACCGTGACAACTAATCCCTTTTCCAGGGAGGAAACTAAAGCTCAGAGAGTCTGAGTCACTCTTCAAGGGACACACAGTCTCCAACTTTCTGTTCTGGAGAGCTGGGATGAAAACATCCATCACTCCGGCCTCCAAGAGCAGGCTGCAGGGCATCACGTTCCACTACCAGTTCTCCAGACCCCATTTCTTACCCATCTGTTAATAAAACACACACTATTAACTGTCCCCAAGTTGGCAGTCAACAGCAGACTTTTAAGGGACAGGGGACTCTTGGAGCTCCCACATCAAAAGACTCCTTGGAGGTCATCTGTGCAGGGAAGGCACGCGTGTGACCCGCCTGAGCCTGTTCCTTTCACCTGTGCCTGGAACAGACGTCAATCATCAAACACAGAGCCTTGTCCCCACTGTAGCCAGGAGCAGCCAATGCAGTCGCTACCCAGAAGTCTTAGCATGAGAGGTTCCACGAGGGCTCCCTGCCTCAGCCACAAAGGAAATGGGAAACCAGGCAGGCATAAGGCACAAAGTTCTCCCTTAGGCCAGGCCCTGCCCAGAGAGCAAACCTGTGGCAGAGAGATGGCCCTGCCAGAGCTAGGGGACACAAGACCAGAAAGGAAGCTGGTCTCATTGCCGAGAGTTAAATTAAGTAAGGCTGTTCAGGGGATGGAAAGTTGAGAGGGCTGACATTTCTTTCTCTAAATCTGGGACGATGATTCCCAATCCAGACTCCCTGGTCAGATCCTCAGACAACCTTTGCCCTCTTCCCCGGAAAACGTTCAGGGTCAGTGAACACGCTGGACTCCTGCTCCAAGTTTATGTTTCCCTATGCTGGGGAAACAATGGCCACTCCATGTTGGGGTGGGTAGGTCAGTGCTGGCCCCCACCCCCAGGCCTCACCGCTTTGCAGTCCCTGTCCTGATTCTAGCGACCACATCAACATTTCTGCCTGAAAGCTCTCTGGCCATTAAAGCACACTCTGCCCATGGGCAGGGCAGGCTGGGAACCAAAACCACCAGGAGCTCCACTCCCTGCCCCTGGCATGAGACAGCTCTGAAGTCTATGTTCCACGTGTCACCTTGGCTGGGTCCTCAGCTAGGATCCTCCAACTGGTTAGATCCCCAGCTTGTTCTAGCTCCAATCACATACCCCTCTCCAAGCAGTAACCCTATCAATAGCATGTCTTTATCACTCCTTACCTGTTCCTCCTCTGCCTTGTCTCTCTGAGTTTCCTCAGCTTGTCTCACATGAAGCTCCCTACACTGGTAGCTTTGTCCCTTGGCTCTGCTCATGGGGCCTCTAGTGTCTCACATCTGCAAAGCCTCCTTGAATTCCAATATCCCCTTCTCCAGGATGAGCTCAGTAGACAGTACAACCCCTCTTCTCCAAGATGTCCTCCGTGCTCTCTCCTCTCCTACCCACTCTATAAAGACCTCTAGTGTTCTCTCTCTCTCTCTCTCTCT